AGTCTCGTTCCAAGTCGAGGTCAAGGTCCAGAAAGAATTCCAAGTCAAAGTCAAAGAGTCGATCCCGTTCCCGCTCAAAGTCTGGATCAAAGAGCAGGAGCAGGAGCAGGAGCAGAAGCAGAAGACGCAGACACTCTAGCAGTGACGACAGGTCGAGCCGCTCCTCAAGAAGGAGGTACAAGCGAAGGAGTGAGCGCTACAGGAGGAGCAACAGTAGGAAGAAAGATGAAGATAAGGATGTAAATTATGAAGACCTGAGAGAAAGTGACCTGGAACTCTCTAGTGATCCAGAAGATGCCTGGAGATATGAAGAGGAATATGAGGAAGATGAAGAGTATTATGAAGATGAAAACGGGTACTACCCTCAGTATCCCTCCCGTGCACGCGGTCGGGGAGGATACAGGGGATTTAGGAGAGGCTTCCGGGGACGGTGGCCCAGGTGGCGAGGCAGGGGGCGAGGAAGGGGTTATTCCAGCTACTATGACTACCCTGAAGATTATGATTCTTGGAGGCATGATGAAGTTAGCACAAGGGACCAGTACCAAACCATGTACCAGAAGTACTTTGAGAGCGTGGCCGACCGGGAATCCTCCAGCAAGAGTGGACGTCCCCCAGAGGAGTATGACAATAGGAAGGAAGGTGATAACTATCGGGAGAGAGAGGAAGGCCACAGGAGTATGCACAAAGAGCGGGAACAGCCACAGGAAGACTATGAAAGCAATCACAGAGGCCATCATGAGTACAGTGATGGGAGGAATCCAGACAGACTAAGATCTCAGGACAGCTGGCCTAGTTATGAGAAGAAATGGAAACATGGTGCAGAGGCAAAGTCTGAAGATAGGGATAATTACAACGAAACAAGCAGAAAGGCCCAAGCATTTAACAGGGAGTTAATGGACTCTGTGCGTGGAAGGCGAGAGGCAGACAGTATGAGAGAACCAGAGGAGGTGGAAAGCCGGAGACATGGTGAAAGAGAGAACTTGAGACAAAGGCTCAGCAGGGAGAGAACAAAACCCTACAGAGAAGAGAGAGACAATAACAGAAAGGACCATACAGTGAGAGAGAGTCTGGAGGATAGTCGACGAGATCGCAGCTATGAGAGAGATGGACAGATTTCAAGTGCAATTGTCAAAAGCAGTGGCAGTGAAAGGAGATATGGTGATAAGTCTGTTTATGAGAAAGAACGAGACAAGGACCGTAATGGTGACAGTAATATTGACTCTCGGTGGAAGAACCAAGTGCTAAGAGCAGACATTGAGAGAGATAGGAAACGAGAAGTTTCTGTGAAAGATAGATTGAGTTTTGGAAATGTGAAAAGCAATAGTGATACTGATCGCATTAATAATAGGTTGAAATCAATTGCTGAACAAGGTGCCTTTAAGCATAAACAGGTGGACATTGAGACTAGGGGTGCACGTGAGGTGGAGCGCAGGGACCTGAGACCCTGGCATAATACTGACTCAAGTGAAAGTAGACGGGATTCAAAGCCCAGTGATCCTAGAAGTAGGCGTGACATTTTGTATAACAGTGGTAGAGACAGGCATGAGACTGACCATGGGGGAAGTAGAGAGAGAGGGGATGACGTTGGCGAAAGTAGGAAGAGACGGGATCACGAGAGAGTGTCCCTGAGGGAGAGTTCTGAAAGGGACGAAGAATCAAATGAAAGTGATTCTGATAGAAAGAGGCACCACAGTGATGGTAGTAGAAAGAAACGGAAAAAGAGGAAAAGAAAGAGAGAGGAAAGAGGGGATATCAGAAGGCATAAGCATAAAAAGAAAAAGAAGAAGAGGGTGTTGGAAAGGAAGTAAAGGGATTGGACCAATCTTTTTCAGGTTGCTGTGATAAACCAACTTGAACTGTAAACAAGTTTCAGTGACATTTGAAAGACATAAGATTGTGGAAAGACTTGTGAAGTTGCATGAAATCTGAGTGCCTATATTTGTGTTGTGTACATATTTTCATTTCAGGTTATTTTATATTGAAGACAGTTAGAGACAGACCCCATATTTGCTAGAAAAAAAGGAAAAAAAGAAAGAAAAAAAAAAGATGACTCCTCCTCCTCTATAAAGTGGATACAGTGAGCTGAATTTCAGTAACTGAAGGGGCTGAGGATTCTTGAGTGCATTGTGCAGTTTCCAAGCAAGAGATATTTTCTACCAGATAAAAATAATGATTAAGTGTTTTTCAGGTTTCTCTTTCAGCTTTTCTATTTCCAATGGGAAGTGTCTGTGTAGACATTTGTAGACAGTTTCTCTTGGTAGTAGAAATACAGTGATAGTTATCCCTGAGGCGACTTGAGACTCGAGTGGACTGTGATTGGATATGAGAAAGGAAACATAAAATTTCAAAACAAGTTTATATTGAGAGTGACAGATCAGAGATTATTGAAACTAGAAGATTTTATTTCAGTGATGTCTATGAAACTGATAGGATGCTAAAGTTGGTTACAGTGCACTTTCCAAGGTTTTACAAAGAAGCAGTGAAAACTGTGAATGCAGAGATTTTTAAATGCTGTGAAGGAATATGTGAAGTGACAGATAAAACGGATACCAAAGAACCATCTTGTATGACTGCAGTAATACATCAGGAAGATTTGGATTGCATCATTTTATGACATATACTTGATTAAAAAGTGACAGGGTTGATGGTCATGTACACGAAATGAATCTTGAAGTGTGTTGTGTAGAATAGTGGAACCTTTATAAAGACATTTTAAACCTTGTGAGAGAAATGCCTATAATATTTCAGCATTATGTTACATTTACAAATACATATAATTATTGTGCAAGTGTAGTATACAAACTGCAGTGATATAAGTAAGAATTGACATTTGTAACTTAATAAGGTGTTCACTAAAGATTTTACTTTCACGGTTTTGTTTTGTCTCTTACTTTTTCTGACATTTTAGAATAATTTTTACTTATACTTATGAATATGATACGTTTTAGTTGGTTTGACATTTATTTACACACACTATATTTTAAATTTCATTATATGAGAATATGATGTTACTTTATGGTAGGAGAAAGTGTACAAGTGCAATGTTTCAGATATTTTCTCTTCTGCTCTCCTCTATTCTGTTCCTCTCCTCTCCTCCCCTTTCCTCTTTTCTCTTCTCTCTCCTCTCTCCTCTCTCCTCTCTCCTCTCTCCTCTCAGCTCTCCACACCTACCCTTTCCTATCCTATTCTATTCTAATCTATTCTATGCTATCCTATCCTTGCCTCTTCCTTTTGTCCCCTCCTCTCCTCTTCCTTGTTTTCCCCTCTGCTCTCCTCCTCCTCTGCTCCCCTCCTCCCTCCTTCCTCCATCCCCATGCTCTCTCCCTTTTGATTTGCCCCAAAACAAGAGAACTCTTCATACTAGGCGTGTTTCTCTTGGCTTTGATTTCTGTGTTGACTGCCTTTTTTTCATTACTAGTCAGGGGATTTTGCATTTTTATTTTGAATCAGTATATTGGTATTTTAGTGTAAGTGATTTTTTTTTTTTTGTAAGGTATTAAATTCATGTGTTCTTGTGAGTGAGTGTGTGTGTGTGTGTGAGTGCATGTGTGTGCAGTTTTGTGTGTGTGTGTGTGTGCAGTTTTGTGTGTGTGTGTGTGTGTGTGCAGTTTTGTGTGTGTGTGTGTGTGTGCAGTTTTGTGTGTGTGTGTGTGTGTGTGTGTGTGTGTGTGTGTGTGTGTGTGTGTGTGTGTGTGTGTGTGTGTGTGTGTGTGTGTGCGTGCAGTTTTGTGTGTGTGTGTGTGTAGATGCATGCATGCATGCGTCTGCATGTTCTTATCTAGTTGTTTAAATACATGACGGGGAGCTCAGGGAGCCCATCTGCTATATATAGATTATCATATACCAGAACTTTTTGTGTGTGTGGAGGTATTTGGAAGAGTGTATGCATCTTTGGGATATATAAGATTTACATATATATTTATTTATATATGTATGGTTATAAGTATTATATATGATTATATATATATTATGGATGCAAGTGTGTGAATGGGAAACAGTGCATATACACGCGAGCGCATGCGCATCATATATATATGTGCGCGCGCGCACACACACACACACACACACACACACACACACACACACACACACACACTCACACTCACACTCACACTCACACTCACACTCACACTCACACTCACACTCACACTCACACTCACACTCACACTCACACTCACTCACTCACTCACTCTCTCTCTCTCTCTCTCTCTCTCTCTCTCTCTCTCTCTCTCTCTCTCTCTCTCTCTCTCTCTCTCACACACTCACACTCACACTCACACACACTAGTATGTAGATTTTTTTTAATATGTTATATTTTTATGTACAACATTTATTTCACTGTTCATATATTGGTAAGTAACTGTGTGACAGTGTTTTTTCTTTTAACCGAACAGGAAAGACCTAATAAGACTATTATTTTAAGGGGAAATTCTTCAGGATTTTGTTAAAGACTTGGAAGAAGATTTATTTACCAGAGCCAATGTGTCCACTTAGTTCATATTTTTGTATGTGTATAAGATTTAGATTTTCTTCTATCAAAGGTTTAAAAGACAAATATGACATTGGGCCACAGGAAGAAGGTGAAGTATTTAGCTTGTAACTTACAGGGATAGTTATACAAGTGACTTATAATTGGAGCAAATGCTTCAACAGATATTGAGGAAAAAAAAATGTGCAGAGAAGTGGAAGAGGAAGAGAAAGGGGATAAAAAAATGGAGATAGTGTGTGCATTTCCTCAAGGAAAAAGTACCAAGGCATTTCTCTCTTTCTCTCTTTTTTTATGTTCTCTATTTTCAGAGGTGTGATATAAAAAAATCTCACCACACATTCAGGTTAATGGTTCCCTGCCTTTCCGAGGCTGGATGTGATTGTAGAGTGGACACAGAAGGAATAGAAAAGAGTGAAGTGTGTGCCGTTGATATGAGAATTTCTTTTACGAGAATGGATGAGTGTAATGTCATTGAAAGTGTTGGAACTGGACGCTGAAAAGCAATGCAGTGTTGTGTGAACCAAAGTAGTCATAAAGGACATCCCAATATTGACTGATGTGCATGAAGTATATGATAACAAGTTAGCAGTATTAAGAAGGACTTGCACATCACTGAAAATAAGAAGACTCACTTGGGAAATATGACAAGGAACTTGAAGTACTAATAGTGTTTCTAAATTTCTTTTTTATTTATTGATTATTCTTATTATTTTTTATAGGTGTAGTTGAGGCTAGAGAGAATCTGTGTTCTCTCTGTGGTTGTTTCCACCTCTTCTACAAAAATAATGTACATAGATAAATTTTTTTCTTGTACAGATTGGATTTTGACATTAGAAATTATATTAAAATTAAAGTTGCTGAAAATAATATGGAATATGTTATTTACACATGCGTTAAGTAATTTTAAGAATTTTCTGTTATATAGATAGATGGATGTAGATATAGCTACATAAATATATATGTATTTATTCATTTACTCCCCAAGAAGGTGTCCATAAAAAAGAATTATATACAATCCTATTTGCATTGGAATGCATGTCTTCCCTCCCTCCGTCTCCCTTCACAATTTTCACTGACTCCGGAAACTCATTTTCTCTCATACAGTCTGTACAGCCAATCAACCTTTCTTCCTTGCAAGATTCAGGACCAGTTCCATCTATCCAAGCAATTCAAAACTCAGTTTTTGCATAATATCCAGCCACATTGGGATCCCTGGCAGTGGACAGGTAGATGCCCTAGCACACACTCCCGCATTGTGCACATTCCATCAATCTAGATATTCACATATACCAGCCAATGATCATTACCTTCTCTTCAAAACCTTCCTCTTTACCTGCAATCTTTTGGTCTAGTCATACCACCATTGAACTAAATACCATTAAACCGTCCACCTCCCCTTGGTCAGCTTTTTTTTTTATTTCATCCCATCCCACCCCATCAGACTTGACATTTGGAAAATGCTATTAGCAACATTTGCCATATCCCTTCCTATCTCATTTTATGAGCTGATCCGCCTCTATGCTCCTTATGCAATGTTCCTGGCAGTACCATATTCTCTAACAATTGTCCTCTCTAGGCATCCATGGAAACTTGGGTGTCTTTCCTCTCACAACGCACTTTCCAGGTCAAAATTGCTTCTGCCACATCATCTTTCTTTCCTCAAATCGAAGGCATCCCACAAGGCAGTGTGCTCAGTTCCACTTTATTCCTTCTTGCTGTTAATGACATTGTCTCAGTTCTACCACCAGGAGCCTGGTCATCACTATATGTTGATGATTTAACCATCTATGCCTCTTGCACATCCATACCAAATCTCTACCAATTTCTTCAGTCTGCAGTCTCATCAGTATCTTCCTGGGCCACAAACCATGGCTTCCGCTTTTCTATCTCTAAATCTTTCTCCATCCTTTTCTCTCGCTCACGTGTAAATCCCCTACCCCCACTCTTCCTATATGGCACTCCACTCCAATGCCGTTCCTCTGGCAAATTCCTAGGCGTCATTTTTGACTCCAAACTGACCTGGCGAGACCATATTCTACACATTAAAGAAAAAGCTCTCCGCCGCCTTCGAATTTTAAAAACTCTATCCCATATATCATGGGGCTCAGATCGCAAAACTCTCCTTCATCTTCATGTTACTTTGATCCTCTGCACTCTTGATTATGGATGCCATATCTACTCCTCTGCCTCAACTTCTCTCCTTGCCCATCTTGACACAATCCATCACTGTGGTCTTCGCTTAGCACTAGGCGCCTTCCGCTCCTCTCCAGTTGAGAGCCTGTATACTGAATCAGGCATACCATCTCTATCTCGACGTCGTGCCCTGCTCTCACTCCGATGTTATGTTCGTTTCCACCAACTTCCCCTCACTAAACTAACTATCCCACAATCCTTACTTCCTACCTTAGCTTCATCTCCACGCTTACCTACTCCTTTCTCCACTCGCATGGATACCCTCCTCTCCCATTCCCCTTTCCCCCATCTCCAACCTCTCCCGTTCTCTGTCCATTCCGTCCCTCCATGGC